AAAACTACACAGAGAAACCCTGTCTCGAAAAACCAAAAAAATTAAAAAATAATGATAATAACAATAATAATAATAATGTAGCATACTCAATTGTAAATAATAGTGTGCACTTGTATAGGAATCCCTTGAAAAAATTCCTACAAGGCATAGACCTGTGACACGGTCACAAAGAATGGTTTCTGCAGGCAAAGTTGTACTTCTTCTGTAGTCTAATAATGAATCATAAGACAGTTACTTCAAGCTGGGTGTGCTGGCGTACTCCTATAATCTTAGCCCTCAGAAGTCAGAGGCAGGAGGATCACGGCCAACTTGAAGCTACCTTGGTCTTTGTAGTGAGTTCCAGGCTCGCCAGGGTCACACTGTGAGACTCTTGTCTCAAAAACAATAACAAAAATTGTACTAATCATGCCAGAAGAGCAAGCTCTCCTTCTGGAGAAAATTCTACAAACTTGCTGTTCTATGAACAGGCAGTCAAAGAAAATGCAGCTAAAACATATAGAAAAGCACAGGGTTTTAGGCAGAAAATGTCAATAAATTAGGTAATGTTTATGATATTTGTCATCTTCTTTAAAAAATGTAATTTTATACTATGTATCATTTAAAATTATATTTATATTCATGCCTAATTTGCATTTATGAAATTTGGTCCTGTTGATCACAGTAAGCCTTTAAAATTACATTCATGTTCTAGAAGACCTATGTATGCCTCTAGTTACATGTGACTTCTCTGATAACCATAGCAGAAGAATTACAGAAATAAAAAATATTGTAATAATATGTGATTCAGTTTAAGGTTTAATTCTACAAATTACTTTAAAATACAGGTTTTTCAAAATGTGTGTGTGTGTGTGTGTGTGTGTGTGTGTGTGTGTGTAGGGGACACGTGTGTGCCACAGTGAGCATGTAGAGGACAGAGGACCAGCTCAGTCTTTGATTTCCACCTTGTCTGAGATACAGTTCTTGCTCACAGCTTCGGATACCAGGCCAGCTGGCTGGAGTATCCCAGGGTTCTCCCGCCTCCACTGCCATCTTAAAGAGGCACACAGGTTACAGAGGTAACCAGCTTTTCACGGGCTCTGGGAATCCAAGCTCAGGTGCTCATCCTTGTGCACCAGGTCCTTTTCACATACATCTGCTCTGCCCTAAGATTCAGCTTCCGGGAGGAATGGCTTATGCAGAAAAATATGCAGACATGTATACACATTGAGAACCTTTGACAAATGTGTACACCTACGAAGCAGCTCTTAAACCAACATAGAAAACATTTTCCTCATCTCCCAAAATTTCTTTGTGCTACTTTCTAGCAAATTCTTCCCCACCCCAGACAGAAGGTATTCTGGTTTTCATCACCAGAGATTAGCTTACCTGTTTGCGAACTTCACATGAAAGGCCTTACACAGGATGAACCCTTTGTGTCCGACTTCTTCACTTACATATGTAGTCATTTCCCAGGCCAGGTTGACAGCGCTAAGGCAGGCTTCGAGCACTAGTAACCATGATCTCTGCACCTATGGGGATATCTCTGCAAGAGATTAGAGTCAAGACCTGTCCTCACTACTGTAGGTGGACATCACCCCACGTGCGAGGCTTGGAGAGGACAAAAATGCAGCGAAGCTGCCTCCTTTCCTGAGCTAGGGCAGACACCGCTTCCTGTCCTTGGGTCCGCCATCTCCAGGGCTTACAGCACCAACTCCACCCACCCCCACCCAGCTTTCCAAGCCTTTAGAATCAGACTAAATTAGAGCCAGCAGCTTTCCCAGGCCCCCATCTTGTGGACCTCAGATGGCAGAACTTCTCAGTTGCCACAATCATATGAGCCAATCTCCACAATAAATTCTGTCTCAGACTTTCTCTTTATATCTGTATCCACATCAGCTATATTAATCCACCTACCTACCTCTCATCTTTTATCAGCTACTTATCTATTATCTAATCTATCTGTATGTATACATCACTTCTCCCTACTTTTCTGAAACTAAATCTTTTAAAGATTTGTCTCTGCTGTTGTACATGTCAGGAATCCATCCCTTTTTCATTGGTGAGTACCATATCACTATTTCCCTATTTGTCTGATAAACATTTGAGTGATTTTTAGGCTTCATCTATTATGAATAAATATGCTATAAATATTTGTGCCTAAGTCATTTAGGAAAAGATGGATTTTCATTTCTCTCGGGGATATGCTGTAGAATTGCTACATCCATGGTAGGTAATTAGCTTCATAAAAACTATTGAAACGTTTTCCAAGGCAGCCGCAGTTTGAGCTTCTAATCAGGGGTTAATGGGAGGCCTGGTTATTTTATATACTTATCTGTCTCCTAATAGGTGTGAAGTGGTGTCCTCCGTGTGCTGTCAATTTACATTTCCCCGATTAACAATGATGCTGAGGGCCCTCTAACGCGGGTCCTGTCCATCCCTCCAGCCTCTTTCATGAAGTGCTCCCTAATAACTTACACATTTTAATTCAGACGATCTCTCATTTGTGTTGCATGAATTCTATAAATTCAATTCTGAATGTAATTCTTTAATTAGTCCATGCCCATCCATCTATCTCCTACCTCTCTCTATCATTTATCAATCATACCTTTTTACCCAATTTATAGTCTGTCTTCCACGGCTTAATTTTTAAATTTTGGAACAGTTCTCAAGCTATAAAATTGCACAAATAGAGTCGCTATAATATTATACCTTCACTCGACTTCCTCTAAAAGTTAATACTTCAAATTTTCTTAACATGTGGAGTTTTTTCACTTATCTTACCATAGATTTCTAATTTATTTCGGCTGCGGCCGACAACATGACCAGCAAGTTAGTCAGCACATCCATCATCTCACATAGTAAAGGTCTCTGTGTGTGGAAGGAATATTTAAGACTCGCTCCCGGCAAATTTCTGACGCACAGTAGAGTATTATTCACTATAGTAGTCATACTGTTCACTGGGTCTCTGGAACTTTCTTCCCATGTCTCCCCGCCCCACAGCTCCTGGCAACCACCATCCCACCCTCGGCTTCTGTGAGTTCATCAGATGTAGATTCTACATATAAGTGAATCTTATTCTCTATATAAGCACATGCAGCGCTTATATACCTCTGTGTCTCTTAGTTCTCTTAGGATAATGGCCTCCGGGGAAGCCTTGTGATGGATGACAGGATCCCTTTCTCTTTTGGCTGGGTAACAGTCCCCTGTATACCTCACTTTCACTCAGCCACAATGTGCACGGGCTTAATCTGCACTGGACTGTGTTTAGAGGTGCTACGTGAGCACGGGAGTGCAAGCATCTCTCTGACATACTGAGGTTGTTCCCTTGCGTGTGTAACCCAAGGGTGGCATTGCTGGACCATAGGGCACTCACTAATGACGTCTTCTGCCCTTTTTGTTTTTTTTTTTTTTTTTTTTGAGACAGGGTTTCCCTGGGTAGCTTTGCACCTTTCCTGGAACTCACTCTGTAGACCAGGCTGGCCTCAAACTCACAAAGATCCGCCTGCCTCTGCCTCCCCAGTGCTGGGATTAAAGGTGTGCGCCACCACCGCCCGGCTTCTGCTTTACTTTAACTTTATAACTATTTTAATGTCTCCTACCTCATTTTCAATTACATTTAAACACCCTTCTTCCCTTTGCTAGTTAAGTTTCCTTGGCTTTGCTTCTCCCCCAGGGTTTGTGGTTGGACCTTGTTCACAGTGAATCTGGGTGTTCAATTCTCTTCTCCTCCTCTCCACACCTCAGGGAGGGGTGGTGTGGATGAGTGAAGCCCTCTTCTGTCCTCCCCACAAAAGTCCTCTTTCCTGTGTCTGTGCTCCCTGCAGGCCCCCTTCCTTCAACAGGCTTCCTTAAAGCATGTGAAGGGATTCTGAGCAAAGTCATTCCGAGTGGTGATTCTTCAAGGGGACAGATGCTGGGGGACCCCTCTTCTGCTGCCTTGCTGTTGACACCCCAGTCTCCAGCATTTGGTATCACCTTGCTTGGAATTCGTGGAGCTTGCGAGGGCATAGATGAATGCGTCACACAACACTTGAAAGAGTTTCCTCCTTATTCCTCTTCTTTCTGTCAGGGGATCCATGGGAGCGAAGGGCTTGTGCTCCTCTGAGACTTTTCTCTCATTTTTCTTCCCTGTGCTTCAGACACACCTCTGAAAATCTATAGAATTGCTGACATTTTCCTGTTCAGTGCTGGGGACTGAACCTGGGGTCTTGAGCATGTGAGACCAAAGCTGAGCTACAACCCGGGACTTGAGCCTTGGCCTGACAAGATCTTCCACATTGGAGGGAGGAAGGGGAACAGGGTGGGGCGGGAGGGAGACACAAATCCTTCGGTGTCTCTTCCCGTGAGTCCTACAATGGTGTCCTACCCACAGCTGTCACTTCATCGAAACCCAGCTGTCCACCAAAGGTCCCATCTCCAAATATCATCATCTGGGGGATTAGCCTTCAGCATGTAGATTTAGGGGTTACACATTCAGCCAACGACACTGAATCTCAACAGCCTTCAGAAGGCTCTGAAGTGTAAGAGAATTAACTACCTGGCATGCTCTTGAGGTAGGGGTATGTTATTGGGGGTGGGGGAGGCGTATTCGTGTGTATGTGCACATGCACCTGTCTCGCCCATGGGTCTTCAGTCTGTTGATCATTGTGATTAGATTTCCTGTAACCTCATTTTTTTTTCATTTGACCTGTGTCCTGTGTTGTGCTAAAAACACTTCCAGTTTTAGTGTGACTTTGTGTATTTGTCCTTATATACCTGTGACTTTCTATGATAAAGGCAGAAGCTGTTACTGTGTCAGTGACATATTATTATGGTCCTTGGCGTCATCAAGAATTCTGCTTCATAACGGGCCGGGGTGGTGAATATCTTTGATCCCAGCACTTGGGAGGCAGAGGCAGGTGGATCTCTGTGAGTTTGAGGCCAGCCTGGTCTACAGAGCGAGTTCCAGGACAGCCAGGGCTACACAGAGAAACCCTGTCTTGAAAAACAAAACAAAACCATTCTGTTTCTCATTTGGAACATTTTTCTCCAAATGTAATATTTTCCGATCCCATTCTCCCTGTCTTGCTTTTGTGTGGCTTTGCCGCCTGTTAACACGTCACAGCTCCCCATTTTGAGCCATTTGGAGTCACGGACTCCGTGTCTCCTGAATACACCTCCAGCTGATGCTCTCTCTGTGGTGAACCTGTGTTTTTCTTTGCGAGGTGAGTGTCTCCTTACGTGTACAGAAATGGCTGACATTTGCTTTAGTAACTATTTTATTGTTCTATTTCCCATGCGCTTTGCTTTAATATGTCGTCTGTTTTCTTGACTCTTTAAAACTGTCTTTGGGTATTTATAAAATTTTGAAAATGTATTCTCTTGTTGCCCTCCATCTCCACGCTGTTCCCCCATATGCTCTTGCACCCACGTTTCTCCTCAGGACACAGTCGCTTTGGATGAGGGGCCACCTACTCCATCAAAGCTTCATCTGAACTGGTAAATCTGCACGACCTTATTCCCAAGTCGGGTCACACTGGGAGATCCTGGGGTTGGGGGGAGGGGTAGCTACGCCAGCACGTGACACAGTCTCAACAACCCTCCCTTTACATCTGTGGTGCTTGCCTCAGACTACATCTTTTCACAAACTGGCAAGGCTGTGGTTTCACCCAAGATTTAGTCATTTCCACGCATGGGCTGTGGCTTGCCCTCGGGCCACACCTAAACGGGAGCTCACGCAGTGCTGTTCTCTCTGGCACGTCTATCCCACGTTGGACTGCAGCTGCTCCCCTTTCAAAGTGTTTTGAATGGAATCATGGCTGCCACTTGCAGGAAATCTGGTGCAAACCAGCTCTTCCATCTCCAGGACACACTCTTCCTTCAGGCTTTCCCTGGTTACTTGTCTGTCTAGCTTCATCATTTGAATGTGTAATTCTGGGCGGTTTTTTTGTTTTGTTTTTTTTTCATGCCTGCAAAGGACTCAGGCTGTTAATGTGTCTTAGTTTCTTCCTGCTTTATTTTGTGGAAGGGAATTTTTATTCTATATTTGATTTTTAAACATACATTACAGCAATTTTAGGTGTTTGCAGTTTCGCATTCGTTTGGAAATGTTCCTCCTCCCTTTCCCAGGCTCACTGACCAGGAAGGGTGAAGAGCGGCCAGTTTGCCGAATTGCTGGCTCAAGAGCGCCCTCTTCTGTTGATCTGAAAGAATTCTGGCATCTTCAATACAATTTTTTGGGGGCAGCCATCTTTTGATTTTACTCTATTAGTTATCACTTTTAATGTTAAAAAAAACCTTCATTGGCTGCTAATAATATTTTATTTCTTGATCTGTGTGGTAATTGCAAGGGTGTGCTCATTTTGTGGAAATTCAATATCTGCACACTTACTATATGTGTAAATTATTTACATATGATGTTATGCTTTAATAAAATGCTAAATATGCACAAGTCCATAATTCTCTAATGGCTAATGGATGAAACATTATTATACTGAGGAAAATTATCTTCTATATTCATCTTTATGGCCAATTCTACCCCCCCCCACATATGTCTGGTCATAAACATATCCTACATGTTTCTCATACTCCCCAACATTATCTGTGCTCATAGAATATGAAGCCAGGGCTGGGAGAGGTGGGGGTAGGGAGTGAGAACAAAGTACAATGATGTGCCCCGTGAGAATGCCATAAAACAAAGCCTGTTACTATCTTAGCTAGAAATGTTAATTAAAAAGAATATGGAGGATGGAAAATATTACTGCATCTATCCTTAGATAGATAGATACAAAGATAATTTTTTTTACATATTTAAAGATTTATTTTCAGTATTTAAGACTACATTTAGGCTTGTGAGTCTGCACACAGGTATGTGTACATGAGTGCAGGTGCCCACAGAGGTCAGAGGTGTCAGATCCTCTGGAACTGGAGTGACAGACAGTTGTAAGCAGCCTGATGTGGGTGCTGAGAATCAAACTCAGGTCGTCTTTCAGAAGAAAAGCAAATGCTCCTATCCACTGAGCCATCTCTCCAGCCCCAAGATACGGCTTTAAAAAAAAAAAAAAACTTCCTTTTTTTATTGATTCTTTGTGTCTTTCACATCATGCATCTCCATCCCATTCATTTTTCCATTCCTTTGCATCCATCCTCTGCCCTTGCAACCTCCCCCACAAAATAAAATAAAATTTAGGAGAAAATAAAAGAAAAATCAATCTCATCATGGAAGCTGTAGTGTGACACAGGTAGAACTTTTGAAAAAGAGATTCATGTTTTTATTTATGTTTGTATGCAGGAAGTGGAGGCCACAAGGTGGCGCTGGAGCCCTTGGAGTTAGACTCACAGGTGGTTGTGAGCATCTGATGTTGTGGACGCTGGGAACTGAACTCTGGTCCTCTGCAAGAGCAGTGAGCACTCTTAACTGATGAAGCATCTCACCAGGCTCATGATAGAACATTTTTAAAAATTATTTTTATATATTTTTCTGCAGAGCTTGAGATCAAACCTTGAGCATCCAGACAAGTGCTACATCCCCAGTGAGACTTACTTCTGTTTTGTTTTGTTTTTGCTTTTTGAGACAGGATTTCTCTGTGTAGCCCTGGCTGTCTTGGATCTCTCTTTCTACACCAGGCTGGCCTCAAACTCACAGAGATCTACCTGCCTCTGCCTTCAAGTACTGGGATTAAAGGCGTGCACCACCACCCGGTTGAGACTGACTTTTTAACATTGGTCTCACTTCATTATTTCATCTTACATTTATTCATACTAATACTTTATTGTTCACCCTATTGAATATTTCACATATATGATTACATTATCTAGAATTACAACTTATTGTTTCTGTTGCTTCCTGTGGGGCTGTCTTTCCATTGCCATAAACTGGGAAATACCCTCCAGGTTAAAGGGGAGCCAGGCAGCGTGGCTTTCACCCCACCGTCTCCCTTGCCTTGTTCCTTCTACCCCTCTGAGTTGCAAGCTCTCCTCGTATTTTAATATATATGTATGGCCATCTCTCACAGTTGTGTCCATTAGGAAAATTAACTGGACGTAGATGAATTAGATAGAAGCATCCAGCTGGATCAGAAGTGTGGCCTGACTTTGTAAACCTTATTTTCCCCTAGCATGCTCAGGGGATTCACTTTCTTTAAAATTAACAAAGACTCACTATTTCCCATTAACTTGCCTCATGGGAACTCTTGCTGCATGTGGCTTCTGCCCCATCAACACCATTCCATTCCCCTTGCTCATAAGTCAGGATCATGGCCACACTCAGGGAGAAAGCCCTGGATGTAGTTCTAGCAACAACCTGTCTGCTTGTGTGTGGCACCCCCGAATGCAGGATGTCTCACCTTCTGCTTGTGACCCATTCATCTCTTCCCTGTGAAGGAATCTCCCCGTCTCCCAGGTCAACATTCCCCTCAGAGCTGGGTCTCCACCAGCAAACACCCTATAGCATCTCTAATCCCGAGGGGAACTCAGTCTCCCTGTCCAGTGTTTTCTCCATCCCATCATCGGTACCATTGGAGTGAAAGTTATCATGAGGGCTCCCTTTATTCACTTCCTCTGTTTTCTCCCACTCTCCCCAGTTCCGTTTGCCTGGCTTTCCCTTCCAGAATGTGAGTGAGCCTTCCCAAGTCAAAGCTCCCTTCCCTCCATGTGTCAGACAGCATCCTTCCCTATGACTCACCTCTCAAAAGCATTCAAGACATACTTACTTCTTGTGACTTCAGTGGCCATCTGCCTGCCTGCCTTTTTCTCAAATCTTTGTATCTTTTTGCTATTTATATTCTCCTTAGATGATCAAATCTAGTTCCTTGACTTAAATATCACTTACATGCTAGTAACTTGCAAATAAATATATCCCCAGGCATCTATTTAGTGCATATTTAACACATATTCATGTGGCTGTCCAATAGATCGCCAAAGCAAGATCTCATTTCCTCTCTTCAGATCTGTTTCTCATCTGTCCCCTTTTGGGTATATGACCCTATCATAAATACAGTCACTCAACCAGGAGCCTCAGATGCATCCGTGATCTTTTCATATTCATTTTTAAAATCCATTAACTGGTATGTGAGTGTGGTCACACGTGTGCCATGGTGTGTGTGTGTGTGAAGGTCGGCATTGTTTCTCCTTTCTCGCCTTGCCAAAACGGGTCTCTCTTGTTTCTATTGCTCTTTGCTCTGTAGTTGGTCCATGAAGTTCTAGTCAAACTCTCCCATCTCTGTCTCCCATCTTGAATGAGGAGTACTGGGATTAGATTCAGGCCTCGGAACTGGACATTTTAGGTGGACTTGTACGGCTAGTGCCTTTTCCCACAGAGCCATCTCCTCCACCACTCTGGTTTCCATCTTCTTGCAAGTCCCTTCTGGTACAAAACGTATCTTCTTAGATCCTACTGCTGGCCGAGTACAGTGGTGTATGCCTGTACTTCGGCACTGAGCAACCTGAAGCAGGAGATGGAGAATCTGAGCCCACCCTGAGCTACATATCGAGGCCCTGTCTCCTAAAACCAAACAATAATCCACTTCTATTTTGTGTCGCAGCACCAAAGCCCCTGACCATCATCCCTTTCTGGTATGGCTTTTTAAATGGCTTCTGTGGTTTCTTGCTTGCCCTCTACATAACCCTCCGCACAGCAGAGAGAATAAGCCCTTTCAGATGGGATTAGCATGTTCTCACTCCCCTGCCTGAAGTCACTGGTGGCTGCCTAGGAAAAGGCTCCAAGTGCCTGACCCCAGTCTCAGTGTGTGCCTAGACCTCTGCCTTCCTCTCCAATCACAGCGCTTACTGTTCTTCCTATGCTCCCCACTGGTGTTCGTTCTGTCCTTCAGTTCCACCACAGGGTCTGGGGGCTTGGAAGTTTCCACAGTCAGAGATGCTCTTCATCCACAAGCTCCACAGTCTGCTCTTCTTCCCGGAACAGTTGGTCTCACATGAAGCAGTTCTGAGGCAAGAGCTCACCTCCTATGCTGTCTTCACACAGTGGTTTAAAACAGGAAAGGTCTCCATCTTGCTGGTTCTGCACAGTGCAGGTTGGTGGAAATGTCCGATCCATGGTGTCCTCACCCTAGCCTGAGGGAACAAGTATTTTTTGGAATAAAGTCTGTTGTCATGCTGGACTTAAAGACAGCTCTGAAGGCCATGGGGTGGCAACCACCATCTGGCCTAGAAATGGCACACATTGTTTATGCTCCTGAGTCACAAAACCAGTATGTGGTGCCACTCAGCCACAGAGAGCCAATCTAGCAGGTGTTCTGAAGGCGAGTGACTCTCCTGGCCACCACAGTCCTTGTGCTATTTTGTTTGTATGATGTTTCTCTAGGTGGAGAGATAAAGGACAAAACTGTGGACCCATCACTCACTGGGAAACTTCAAACTACTTTTGAGACCTCAGAGGCCCCTCCTAATTGCATTCCTCCATTTCGAAGGAGCAGCCACTGCCCTACCTTTTAAGCAGCTCTAGGTTGGATCTCAGGTGCTCCCTGAAGCTCAGTGTGGTACAGGCTTGGCCCTCAGTGTGGTGCTATTGGGAATAGTAAGGGGTGGTGTTGGGGAATATTACTTTAAAGTGTGTTACTTTTGTTTATGTTGCATTTGTTTTACTCTGTGAAGCTGTGTTACTGTGTCTGTCTAAAACACCTGATGGTCTAATAAAGAGCTGAACAGCCAATAGCAAGGCAGGAGAAAGGATAGGCGGGGCTGCCAGGCAGAGAAGGAGACATCTGGGAGGAGAAAAGTAGTAGCCAGGGAAGGAAGAGGACCCCAGGGCCAGGCACCCAGCTACACAGCAAGCCACGGAGTTGGAGTGAAAGCAAGATTTTCAGAAGAAAGGGGGAAAACCCAGAGGCCAAAGGTAGACAGGATAATTTAAAGAAAACCTGGAAAGAAACAAACAAGCTAAGGCCGGCCATTCATAATTAAGAATAAGCCTCCTTGTATGATTTATTTGGGAGCTGGGTGGTGGCCCCTCAAAAGAGCAAAGACAACACCCATCAACAGGGTGGGGCTTAGTAGAAGGTCTCTAGATCATGGGAAGGGCGTGCCCCTGAAGGGGACTGTGATACCTCTTTTGCTTCCCAGGCTTAAGGTGAGTAATTTTGATCCACCTCAGCCACATGGTCCCACTGTGAGGCACTGATTTGCCATAGGCCTCAAAGCAATGGAGCTAAGCAGTCATGGCCCAGCACCTCCAAAACCGTGCCCCAATATGTTGTGGAGTATTTGTGTACACTGTAAAGATGTGTCTCTGCCTAAGGCACCTTCTGATTGGTTTAATGAAGAGCTGAGTGGCCAATAACTAGGCAGGAGGGAATAGGTGGAACTTCTGGGAAGAGAGGAGAATTCTGGGAAGAAGAGAGACAGAGATGCCAGCAAGGTGTGGAATAAGTTGGACATACAGAATGAAGGATGGGTAAAAAAAAAAAAGCCACATGACAGAACATAAAT